GAGGAAGAGGAGGATAGAAAAGAAAAAGAAAGCTTAGGCACAGCTGTGAAACGTAAACAAAAATTAAGTAGGACTGGAGAAAATCCATTTCCAGGAAGTGTGTGGCACAAGGAAGCAAACACTGGCCGTGGCCGTGGCCGTGGTGCCTCCATTTCCAGGCACCTGGAGGCCTGTGCTCCCACCTCTCAAGGCAGAATGGTCAGGGAGGAGCTATGAGCACCAGGCATCCCTCGCCTGCCTGCCCTCGAGGCTGCGGTCCCATCTTTGCCTGGCTGAGTGGGGCGGTACACAGGGCTTTGTGGCCCACACTGTCCCTGAGCTCCTGTGTGGCTGGTGCTACCAGGGTGGAGAAACCTAAGAGGAGGGGCCAGCAGGCAGGACTTGAGGGCTCTGGGGAACCCGTAGTGCCCCCAAGGGCCACCCCTGCATGACTCACTGCCTGCCCCAGGCCCCCAGTGATGACACCACCTGATCATGCATCTGTCAGCCCAGATCCACCTTCCTCTTCACAGATGGGAACCTGGATATTCTGTCACAGTGACAGGGAGTTGCTTGACATGGGGGTCCCTGCTCCACTCTGGCGCAGGGTGAGGTGCTATCCTGCGTCTACAGCACATCTCTGGAGTGGCCTAGATCTAAAGGTCCCCTGGATGCAGAAGGTGACAAGACCACGGGGCGCTATATTCAGCTGTGGACCCCCCCCCCCCACTGAGAAGTGCTCAGGGGACAAGGCTGGAGGAGGAGGGGCTGGCCCAGAGAGGGCTGCGCTGGACGTGGTGTGGGTGCGTCTGCTCCCAGCTCCTCACTCTCTGTGCTTGCAGGTCACCTCGGTGTGAGGGACTCTGCTCCGCCAGCCCCTTCCTGCCCATGAGCTGACAGCTCCAGACTGGACCGCTAAAAGCCTCAGTCAACCTCTTCTCTCCTGAGTTTGTGGGTGCTCTGTTGGGTGTTCTGTCCCAGGAGAAAGTGACAGAGACACTTAGAGCAAGAATCAAGACTTTGGCATTTTAGGCCACTGAGATTTGGGGCTGCTTGCTGCCGAGGCGTAACTTCTCGTAGCTAATACGCCTGATAACCCTGGACCCTAATGTACTGAAGAAACTACAACCATACTTCAGGAATGTGAAGAGGAAAACGTCAGCGCATTTTTCAGCATCTTCATCAGTCTTTAGTGAATCAAAGATAGAATTAGAAGGCACGGATAGGGTAAGACAAGAGTTAAGGGGAATATTTACAGAACTTTAAACAATGTGAACAGGCGCTCTTCATTTTTTAAAAATAGTTTTCTTTTTCTTTTTAAAATTTTTTTTTTTTTTATGCAGGGTCTCACTACACAGCCCACATTAGTAGTGATCCTCCTGATTTTTGCCTCCCAAGTGCTGGGATTACAGGCACGTGCCACCAGGCCTGGACTCCATGGCTGGCTCAGCACACCCGGGGGTGGGTCCGGCGTGGCATGCAAAGCCAGGTATTGATTCATTTTTTTAAAAAAGTTTTGCTTTAGTGCATGTTTGCAGCACATAATGATTCCATCCACAGGGCCAGGGACCGGAGCGTGGGTACAACGCAGACCACATACAGCTTCACCATGTCTGACTTCTGGTAACATCCCTTCCCCTCCCTCTTCTCCACCTTGAGGCATTCACCCTCTTTGCAGAGTATCCATGTATCCTTCACAAAATTGCTTCAAACTTAGGAACTTAATAAGGCAGAAGGGATATGAGCACTGAGCCAACCTCAAAAATATGAATTCAGCCAAAATTAAATTGCACTTGTTGAGAGAAAACATCGAGAGTATATTATAGAGAGAAGAAGAAGTTGAGAACTTCCACAAGGTAAAGCTTCAGGATTGGAAACTGTCATACTCAGAAGTGAGCGTTCAGAGGTGCGTTTGGAGACTACAGAAAAGTGTGATGGAAGCCAGTGTGACGAGCTTTCCCAGTAATTCGTATACGTAAGAAGAGAAACAGATTTGAAAATAACAAAGTAAGAGTTAATTTAAGAGCTTATATACTGGTATCTTGAAAAAATGTAAAGTTACCGAGCTGATTGATGTTTTCACAAATCTGACAGGAGGAAAGGTCACTGGAGCTGTGTGACCCAGGGGATGGCCCTGCCACAGCGGGCCGTCTGCCATCCAGCCTCCTCCCAGGAACATGGCCAGGGTGGAGCTGCCCCAGCGGGACAGGGACCTGCAGGCCCGGTGAGGAAACTGATAAGGATAAAGTCCACTGGGGGCAGCAACTCATGAGCCCCGCAGTGAGACAAGAAGGCGAGTGCCTCTGTCCAGGATAGAGAGCATCCAGCAGTCAGCCACCAGCCCAGGGACACTAGTGTGTGGGCACCGGCGGGAAGGACAGCTGTGGATCTGCTCACCAGGGGCCTGGGAACCAAGCCAAGCTGAGTGATGGCCTTGGAGGCTGACATTGGCCACACCTAGTGCCCAGACCCCATCTTTGAGAAGGGATACCAAGCCCAAGACCCAAGGCCGCTTGTGCAGGTGACTCCCTCACCTATCACTGCCTCTGACAGCCTGTGTCCCCAGGGCCTGCTTCTGGGAAGTGACACCAATCAGAGCTCAGCCTGAGGTGGGAGGGGGTGGTGGATTGCTTCCCATCCTACCCTGCCTGGCGTCGCACCCATGGCACCTCTGCCTGTGCCGCAGCTCCTGCCGCTGCTCCTGCCACAGCTCCCTTGAGTCTGCTCGGCAGGGGAGCCTTGCCCCCCCGCCCTTAGCCATGTGTTTCTTCCCCTCAGCTGCCTGGACCACTGGGAATGCTCCTTCCTTAAATCGTCTGCATTAATATCTGAACTTAAGCCCACTTATTTATTGACTTAGCGGCACTGGTGACTGAACCTGATGCCTTTGCACTGAGCTACAACCCCATCCCCTTTTGTTTTTTATTGGATACAGGGTCTTCCTAAGTTGTTCAAGGTGGGCGCCAACCTGCAACCCTCTTGCCTCAGCCTCCCAGAGCACAGTGAGATCAGGTGCCTGCACCCCAGAGCAGCTGCTAATGGTGCAGAGGCCCAGACTCCAGCTGGGCTTCTCCATGGGGCCGTTTCCAGCGACTCCTGGCTGTTGTGACCCCTCATGGGACACAAGGTGTGTGCTCTCCAGGCAGTTCAGATGGGACACATAAGGCCGGAAGGAGACAGGACCCAGGCTAGCGGCCAGGCGTTTTGGGTTAAGGTCCCTGGAGAATCTTGGGGGTCTCTAAACATTGCTGGTTGCTCCAGTATCTCTGATCTTCATCAGCTTTCCCGAAGAGCTCTGCAGTGGGGACCACACAGGGTACCTAGAGGCCAGGTGTGGTTGTCAGAAGAGGTCTGGAGGCCCCTTGGCCCCAGGCTGAGGCAGGACCACAGCTGCCTGGGAGGACAGCACTTGTGGTTTCAGCCAAGGGTCCTGGGTTCTGGCAGCTTGACTCTGTCCACTGGGGAGCCCTTGGGCTCCTAGAATTTGCCAGCCCTCTCAGTAGTGCAGCCCTTGGCGTTAGGGGCCCCTTCCTGCTCTGCTGCCCCTTTGAGGGGTGCTCAGCATCACTAGCTGAGGCCCTGGCAAGGCCTGAGGGTGGCAGCCTTATCTCACAGACAGAGACCAGGTCCCCAGAGGCCCAGAGGGTGCGATGGAGCAATGGAGCCACGTCCAGGCCTGGTGGGGACCAGAAATGGGCAATGGGTGAGAAGATGCCAGCCCTACTGGGTCAGCTGCTGTCTACCCGAGAAACTGCCACTTGGGAACAAAGGCACCAGGCTGGGATGCCGGCATCTCCCCCAGCAACAGCACTGCTCTGGACCTCTTGAGCAGGGCCTTGCAGCTCCCAAGCCACCAGGCTGAGTGTCCCCAAGCCACCTACTGTCACCAGCCTGAGGCTCTTGGGCCCTTGCTTCCCCCTAACAAGGGACAGAGGACAGGAAAGGCTGCCCAGAGCATTGCTAAGCCAGGAGGGAGGGAGATGATTTTTGAATTGTGTAAAGGTTTCCTGCGGGCTTTCAGAAGACATTCTAACCTAAATCATATACACAAATTCTAAATCTTAGTTCATAATTTCACATTCAAGACTTCATGGAGCTTAGGAACTGTGATTGTTAGCAGCTTCAGACAGAGAGTAAAACCACAGACCCAGCAAACAGGAAATCTGATGGCATCTTTTCTATCTGAAGTTTGTGGCCACAGCTCCCAGGCGGTGTTGAAGTCATTGTCCTTACCCAGGACACTCCCCAGCCCCACCCCTCCTAGGTCCCAGGCATGGGCACCAGTCTGCCTGGTAGTGCTGCTGGGATGCCAAGGCGCAAAGTCCCTCTCCAGAGAGGCCTTGATTTCAGCTGGCTTCCCCTAAGGTCCAAGAGGGTGGACACTGAGGAGCCCAGCACCAAGCCAAGCTCATCCATGACACTGGCTGCCCAGAGGGTGGGCTAGAGCATGGCTGGCCAGGATCTCATGGACAACTTCTACGTGCCTGGTCCTGTGCTGGGAGATGCGGCTGTGAGGATCAGAGGGCGTGGGCAGGCATCTGATTTTTTGTTTTTGTTTCTCTAATGTATTTAGTGCAGGGTCTATAGGGTCTCACTACACAGATTGGACTCGTAGTGCTCCTCCTGTTTTCAGCCTCCCAAGGGCTGAGATTTTATAGGAGCGCGCCACTATGACCAGTCTCAGTTGCCGTCTCAGCAAGCCCCAGGGGTGGGGCTGGCATGGTACAGGCATCTGTGTTTGTACCAAGGTTCCCATGGGGCTTCTGCTGCGAATAAAACTGGAATTGGGAAGCGGGCTGATAAAGACACTTGGAGGTGAAAGCTTCTTCTTCATATTGTCCCTCTGCCTCAGACTAATTCCTGAAAATACAAAGAGCTAGGAGTTGTGCTGCGTACTGATGATTACAGACTTGGGAGGCTGAGGCAGGAAGATTGCCATGAGGTCAGGGCCAGCCTGGGTCCTGGTGAGCCCGTCTCGCAATCCATCAATCAATCCACTGAGGAAATAAAGACAGTTTTCAAGATGTTCATGGAATGACTTTTTTTTTTTTTTTTTTTTACATTTTTCAACTAGTTAGGACAAAAACATTACAATGATTGGCTTCTTTCATTTAGTTACATAAATAAAATTTTTATAAATATCTCTTTATAAACAATATAAATAGCTTTACAACATAAATACATTTATGCATGACATGAATTTACAAACAGCAATGTTTTACAGCTGGTTTTGTCAGTCTCTTAAAAACCGTCCCTTGCCGTCAAGTCGGTGTAGGTGTGTTCCATGTATATAATATATATATATATATAATATATAACTTTTTATTTTTCATTTCCAAGAAAAAACAAACAATAAAATCATACCCTCCCCTCCCCAAATAATAATAAAACAGCTGGTGTTGTGTATTCCCAGTACCAGGGGAAGAAAAAAAAGAAAAAGAAATGTAAAAGCCACATCGCATTGGAGGTGTTTCCAGATGCCGGCGGCTGGAGACCAAGGATGACCTCAGTGTGCGGAGCGATTCCCAGTCCTGAAACAGAGGACACAGCACGCTCAGTTCTGGGCCCTTGGCCTGTGGGGCATTTCTAGAACTTTCTTCTCCTTCCTGCAGCAGAGGGCCTCTGGCCATAGTCCCGCAGACCCCTGGTGAAGGCCATCCCGGTAGAGGAGGACGCTTCTGGGGTCTGTCTCCTGTGGCCATGGCATTAGTGCCTCCAGCACAGGTGGAACCAGGGTGCAGCCAGGCCTCCTTCAGGCTGCCTACTTACAGGCCACCCTGGGCCCGTGCTTGGTGCAGCCGTGATACAAGGAGAAGGACACCAGCCCCTGCCATCTATCTATCTATCTATCTATCTATCTATCTATCTATCTATCTACCTATCTTTATTTCTGCAACACAGACCCTTACTTCATTGCCTGCCTCTGATCTGTGTGTCTGGGTGACCATGCAGGGACAGAGTATGGAAATGTCTGGGGACTCAGGGATTCTGACCTTGATTCCCTAGTGGCCCTGGTTAGCTCTGAGTATGGCTCTCCTCACCCATAAAATGGATAATAGTCACCTCCCAGGGTGGGTGCTGGAATTGGAGGAGCCTCCTGTTAGCCCTAGGCAGTGGCTGGGTCACAGCTGCCGCTCAGGGGACAGCACTTCTTTCTCTCACTGGGGCCCCTTGGGAGAGGGCAGAGGCTGGCGCCAGCTGTGGGCGGACAGCCTGGCTGGCCTTGGGGTCTGGGAGGACCAGATGATGGATCAGCACTGTACTCAGTCCCCGCTACAGCTGTGTGGCTGCTCCAGGTCCAAGCATGATGTCCTCCCTCCCAGAGGACAGGGCACACAGAGGGACTGTAGGCTGGAGCAGCTTGGTCAGCTCTCCCACTGCCTTCTTTGGCTGTTCCATGTGTCTGAACAGATGGCAGATGTCTGTGATGTTCTGAGGCCCAGGGACAGTGCTATTGAGGTTCCATCCGCACCCAGTGTCTGTCATTAGTATTTTATAATCAAGACCTATAACCACTGGCGACAGTCATTATGGGGGTGCTTGGAGCTGAGGTCACCCCAGAGTAGAGAGATGGACACAGCCTCAGAAGGGCTTCCATCTGCACAGAAAACCTACACTGTCTCTCTCTGCTAGGCCAGGCCAGGCACTTCACCTGGTGAATGCAGGTACCACAAGAATGACCTGATGTCCCATCAGGGACAGGCTTGGGCAGCATGAGAGCAGGCCAAGGCTGCGGGCAGCAGGTGCTCATTTAAGGTGAACCCCTCCGGGTAGCTGGCGACTTGCCCTGGCCCAGTAGTGTGGTCTTAGCATCTGGACTCCTCCTACTTGGCATCTCACGCCACCTACATGGGCACCCTGGATGCCCAGCCTAAGAACAAGGCACCCTCGAGAAGTGTTGCGGGCACTGACCCAGAGAAGACCCGCTCACTTTTGTGTAGGTTCTGAAGTCTGAGCTTAGCATTTAAACCACAAACTGAAAATGTTGTCTCACTCTTCATCTTATCATTTCAAGACAGGAGAGAAGAGAGCAAGCACATCACAGTGGTAGTCCCCAAGTACCTGTGAGGGGAGGGGACAGGTCACAGGCAGTGAAGCCTCTGCAAAACTGGGAAGTAGCACACGGCCCCCTAAAGCTGGCTGCGGGCAGAGGAAGGGGATGCTGAAACTGGGCAGGCAGCAGGTGGCAGGGCTGTCAGGCTAGGCTGTGTTGCTCCTCTGGGCATTGACAAATACTCCTCAGAGCCAGGTTCACCTTTGGCCAGGGCCTGGCCCTGCAGTTGGTCACGAGTTAGTAAGGGGACACGAATAGGTTCACAAATCAGTGGCACCTACTGCGAGACTGTAAAGAAAGCTTGGGCAATGTTCTGGAGGTACTGCAGCTGCCCATCAGCATCCCTGCCTGGGTGCAGCAGGCTGGGTGTGGGACGTGTGGTGGCAGCAGTCTGGCCAGCTAGGCAGTGCTGGGAAGCAGCAGGCCTGACCCTAACGCGGCGTCAACATCAGATGTCATCCCATGCACACCAGAGTGCTGCGGAATGAGGGTGGGGGTGTCTCGGCCACAGCAAACTGCCACCAAGCAGTACCTGGCAAGACTGAGGTCTCCATTGCTGGAGAGTGAAGGGACCACAGCAGAAGTATCGAACCCAGAGCACAGTTTGGACTGGGGCCAGGGTTAACAAGAAACTCCCTTTGGGACCTGTCAAGTTTGAGGCTAGGGCAGGAGGTAAGATTTATATTAGTCTGTTCCTTTCCCTGCCATGAAACCGGGTCATAGACACCAAGCTTTGCCCCCGCAGCAGCAGCATCAGGACCCTGGACAGACCAGTTTGCCCACAGTCAGTTTAGAGAAGGACAGAGGACCCGGGTGCCCCAGGCAGAAAGGCGGCGACGCTGCCAGCTGAGCTGATCTGCACGGGCGTGGGGCAGGCGTTTCTCGGCATCTGTCCTGATGCTTGGCCAGCCTTCCCTCCATCCCTGGGCCACTACCCCATGGCTGTGAGCCCGGGGAAGCCATAGGGAGGGTTCATCCAGGCCAAGCCATTTCTGACCTTGCCCAGTTTCCCTAACCACTTTATCCTCCACTTCATCTGTAAAATGGGATGATAAATGGGGTGGCAGGCAAAGCCTCGTGTACCCTCGATCTCATAGCAGGATCGCCTTGCCCCGCTCCAGAGGCTGCCTGGGTTCGCAACGGTCCCAGGCCCGCGCATCAGCGAGGAGCCGGCCCTGCCCGCGGGGACCCGGGTCGGTTCGGTTCCGCAGGGCGCCCAGCTGCCGGGTCGGGAGTACTCACCGCCGCCAGGGGGCGCCACACTAACATCCCAGGCCGCTCATGGAGCCGATCCGGTCCAGCTTGAGGCCGAAGCAGCCTTTGGACAAACCCTTCTTGTTGCCTCCTTTGTATTTGCGCGCGTTGGGGTGCTCGTGCAGTAGGCGGGCCCACGCCGCCCGCGATTTGGTGTCCACGCGCAGGTCCCGAAGCAGTCGTGACCGGTCGCCCTTGAGGTTGGCGCCGCCCCCGGGGGTCTTGTCGCCCTTCTTCTGACCGCTGCCAGCAGCCTGGGGCTCGGCCACCTCCTCTCCCGGGGAGTTTCGCGGGGCCTATCGGAGAAAGAGTGGGCAGGTGACAGGACCACCGCTGCAGCGCGGGGGACGCGTGGCCCCCGATGCCCCGCCGCCGGGCCCCGAGCGCGACGTCCTTGCCGGGCCCCGAGCGCGCGACGGCTCAGCGCTCATCCACCTGCCGCGGCTGCCCGCTCCTTCGGAGAGCCGCAGGCCTTCACTCCCTCGCCTCTTGCCAAGCGGGACACATTGGACGGAAGGGTTGCATATGCGCAGAGGCCGGGATACCCATGAGTGTGGGGCTTCCAGGGCAATTTTAGGGGGCCCTGCTGCGTCCCCGCGCTCTCCGCTCGGCCCGGTGCGCGGCAGCCTCGCAGACCCAGTGCCCTCCACGCCCCTCGCCGGCCCACCGTCCCCGCAACAGCACCCACCTTCGGTGGCGTCCCGGGCTTGGCTTCGGAGGGCCGGAGCGAGAGTAGGGTGAGCAGCAGGGCGCAAGCGAGCAGCTGGGAGAGGTGCATGGTGCCGCTGGGGCCGCCGGGCACGGAGAGGGTTGTGTGCAAGCGAGAGTCCCAGTGCTGCGCGGCGCCGGCTGGGTGCGCTCTGAGCCCGCGGCTCCGCTCGCGCCTTTATAGCCCAACCTGCCGCTGATGTCATCGCCCCGCCCACTCGGCGGTGCAGGCCAATGGCACCTCGCACGCGGCCGCCCCGGAGGCCGGGAGAAAGCTGCCGGGGCTGCCCCGGCTCCCACCCCCACTCCAGCCCCGGGACCCCGCGGCGCGGCGGGCTCCCTGGGGCAGTGCTCGGAGCTGCAAGCGGCGCGCGCTGGGAAACCCCAGCTGCACAGCGCGCGGTGGCCTGCCAGTGCTTATGTGCCCAGGGCGCGGTGCTCCCGTGGGGACCTAGCCACACGCACCCTACCTGGGAGGGAGCGGCTCCCCTCACGGCAGGTGCAAATACTGCCTCAAGGAACTAAGTCACACAAAGTCACACAGTCAAAAGGTTGGCGCTGCCAGCAATCCACACAGACTTGTCCTGTTGCCAAACTTCCCTGGGCAACCACCCGGCAGGCGCGGGCTGGCATCACGCCCTCGCTTTTACTTGCTCTCCAGGCGGAGAGCGGCGACTCCACCAATACCATTAGGTTGGAAAGGCTGAGGATGGCGCAGAGGACCCTGAGGGCAGGCGCAGGAAGAGCGAGGTTTCCCGGGGCCGAGGAGGGGGTGCAAGTCTTCCACACTCGGAAGTGCAAGCGTTTTGCCAGCCTTCGTGTCTGAACACGAGCCGGGCGGAAGGTGTGCAAGTGCAGGCTGCAAACACTGGTGCTGGCGCGCGACAGCGGTGACACGTGCTCACCGCCGCCACAGCTCGCACCGGAGTGCAGCTCCCTCTAGGCAGTGGATTCTAGGATCTGAAGCCTGTTGTTGTCGCTCCAGTGTCTGTGCCCCAAAAGAGGCTGCCAAGGGACCCTGACACGGTCCAGGCCCTGCCTGGCCTCTGAAAGTCGAGACAGGTGCCCCCATCGCGGTTTGGGCTGCAGAGCGGTCCCACTATGACTGTCCAATGCGGTCATACATCTCGGCCACTCAGACTGTCTTCTCCGGGGCTTGGGCATCTGGCTCCCTCGACTCTGGCAAGAATAGAGTGGGGTGCTGGAACGTGTGGCCCCAGGCTGCTGCGCAGCCTGAGGGCTTGGAGGAAAGAAAGTTGGCTGAGACCTGGGCATGGTGGCAGCTCCCAGGGGTGCAGAGGACCCTCGAGAGAGCTAGGGTGGTGTTTTTCAGAAAGTGTGGGGAGGCTGGGCCTCCAGGGACCTGGAGAACCAGGCACTCCAGGGTGGATCTGGCTGAGACCCAGGTCCTGGAGCACTGGAAGCCAGGACCTCTGGCTTCCCTCGGTCTCTCTCCCCTCCCCCTTCTCACTCTTGGCCCTGAGTAGGAGACTCAGGAGGTCTTTCTGTATCCCATTTTAGGTAGGCAATAACCCTCGAAAGAATGTTGGGCTTGGGCTGCATATCCAGCTCCCTGGAAAGATCCTTGTTTGTCATTGTGGTGAGTTGACGGGCATCTGCAGCCAGCACCCCTGACTGACTCCCCAGCATGTTAACGCCCATGGATGGGAATCTTTCACTTGAGGACAAAGGATGAGAAACAAGAAGAAGAAAGAGCTGTGGGGGTCCCATTCCCTCTTTATCTGCTGGGCAGAGAGGACACCACCCAAACTTCTCTGGGACTTGTTTTACCTTGACCTGTTTTCAGAGCTAGTGGGCATGCTGACTCTAGAGCCAGGTACTGGGTCCAGGGTGCAGCAGCTACACCCTCTAAAAGCCCTTTAAGAAGGGGAGGTCAGGAGCTTCTGGTGCTCAATTTGACCTCCTCTGAATATCTGTAGTATGGTCCTTCCTGTCTTCTGTGTCCCTAGACAAGCTTGGCAAAGATTCCCTTCTGTCTGACATTTGGAGACAGGATCTTACTAGGTAGTGCAAACTGGCTTTGAACTCACTATGTAGCCAATGCTGTCCTCAAACTTTTGGTGATCCTCTTGCCTCAGTCTCCTAAGCACTAGAATTACAGGCTTGTGCCAATGTGGGACAGAGAAAACTCCTGGCTTTCCTGGTGTGCTGTGCCAGCCTTGATTGGCAGGTCCAGTACTGGGCTTCAAGGATCTCCAGGGAGGGAGGCAATGGGCATCTGAATGTCAGAGGTAGACGAGGGTTCCCAGCTCTCTGTGACCTTCCTGCCAGCCTGCGTATCAATTTATTTAGCTTTGGAAATGATTACTAAATTATTCTGGATGGTTGGTGGAGAAAATGACTTCCTATGACACGGCTTGGGTCTGTGACCCTTTTCCTTCTTTTTCTCTCACCCTTCTTTTGCCCCCCTCCCCTCTCCTCTCCTCTCCTGCTCTTTCTAGTCCTGATCCCCAGGTCATTGGGGACAGTTGACACACTGAGCAGCTGAGATTAGCATTCAGGGCACTGTACAGACTGCTTAGCATTAAAACTCCCTGACGGCAAAGGAGGGAGGACAGGTCACTGGGCCTCAGGGACCTGGCACTGCTGTAGTGAAGTATGTCCCTTGTCACATATGCCCTTGCAGCCAGGGAACCTGCCTTCCCCCCTCAGAACCCACTGAGGAGAAGAACCCCAGGAACCAAAACCTCCTCAGGAGGCTCCTCTTCCAGCCCGGGCAAGCAGGGTGGGCTTCCCAGAGAGGGAAGCCTACCAGGCTGTTGGGAGTCCGAGGACCGCGCTGCTGAGACTAGAGGACCCAGTCCTCACCAATGGTGGGCGGCAGTGGCGCCCCCTCCTGGCCCTGGGCGGCAACGGCGAGTTCTTGGGCCAACAGAAGAAGGATTGCTGGCGGCCCATCTGTTTTCTGTGCAGTTATTTCATCCCGGGGCCCCTTCCAGCTGCATAACTTCCCAGGAAGGACACGAACAGGCGATGAGCGGTTCTCGAGGAGGCCAGGCAGAGAAATTGCCGCGGGATCCTGGCCAGGTCCCATCTCTGCGCGGGGCCTTGGGTTTCACCACCTGTAATTGGGAAAAGGCCATCGGGGACCTGGAGCCCACAGCCGGAAGCAGCTGAGGCGAAGGACCGCACAGCGCCGCACGTCCACACTCAGGAGTGGTGGGCTGTGGGCTAGGGTCTCCCCTGGACCGGCTGGGTGTGCCGGGCCTCCGAAGACTCAGAGTCCTGGCCAGGTCTCGTGGGCTCTGCACCTACTGGCCTGGCCTGAGGATCGAAGCTGGAGGCCTGGGATGGCCAGCAATGCCAGGAGGGCGCACCCTCCTGTGCCAGGAGTCCTGACCCCGGGACACTCCCCCCCAACCCCCACCTGACAGGCAGCTGCCTCGGCTTCTTTCCCAGAGGCGCTGCCAGCACCTGCTCCAGATGGCCTCCACTCTGCTGTCCTCTGCAGGCCCCTGACGTCAGAGCTTAGCTCTCTTTTTTTCCCCTCTCTTGTTGAAAAAGAAAAGACAGGTCCTGCACAGATAGGCTCCTGGGAACTCGTCTGGCCTACAGCAGGCAGGTGAGGGCAGGCGCTGAGGCCCAACTCTGAGGAAGTGGGCTCAGCACCCCAACATCCGCCTCGGAGCCCACACAAGATGTTCACGGAGGGACTGGTCAGCCACCAGGCTCTGCACTTGGGGACAAGGACTTGTGTGGCTGGCATCTGGCTGTGCTGGTGAGCAGAGGGCCACTCCTTTGCTGTCTGGAGTCCCTGAGGGTGTCTGTAGTCTGATCTTGGAGCCTTTGTTTCAGATTTGATGGAAACCTCAGTCTTCAAGGATGGGTCCCTCTTCTTGAGATGGGAGGGACCCCAAGTATCTTATAGAAGGCCCCTAACTTGGCCCCCTCAGAAGGGGTCATGGGACAGGCTTGCCAGGTCCTGGGGCCTCCAGTCAGCCCTAGGGAACCCTGGCTCTGTGTTCTCCACATGTCAGCCCCATGAGCCATGGTCATTCCCAACGTCCTGGAGAGAGATCAGCTTCTAAACCCAGAATGCCTAGGAGTCACGAGAGACAGACTCAACCTCCTGGATGCTAACGATGGCTGGTGGGGGCTTCACACAGGCTGACAAGTGCTTTCATATGTTATTTGAGGAATCATAGTGACCTTGAAGAATCTCTGGGCCAAATGTGCACTGTCACACAATACATCTGGGCCCTGGGATTGCCCAGCATGTTCCCTTGTGGCCCAGCATGCCCTTGGCAAGGAGAAGAGTCCTTTCTGCCCCCAGCCACTTTCAGGAGGCTTCAGCTTTAACCTCAGGGAGAAGTCACTGAGGGAGGAAACACCAGCTCTGAGTTGAGTGGGGTCAGGAATTCCCTGCCAAGCAGCTGATCAAGGGTCTTGGTCTTCACAGAGGTGGCCTAGGGCAGAGATTCTGTGTGGCATGGACAGATGTCAATAGACATGAGCTGCCTGGCATCTCTCCCCAATGGAGGCACCAAAATGCCAAGTGCATGCTTTCCCAGGGGCCCTTGCAGCCCATGCAGGCAGCCCAATTGCTTTGCCCAGGGTTTCCAGTCAAGTGTCATTGTCTCAGAGAGATGCTTAGCCTGAGTGGCCCCAGAGTACCTGCGCCCTGAATGCCCATGCCTGATCTGTCTCAGTTCACCCTTGCAACAGTGGGTCTGCCAGAGCCCTGCTGCCCCAACCCAGCTCTGCTCAAAGGTGAGGACATCTGTGAGCACATTGGCCTTCTTCCCTTGGTGATGAATGGCCGGGCAAAACGGTCAGTGTGTGGGGAGGCAAATTCAGGGGACCAGGTGGTTCCGCTCCGGAAACAGCAAAGCGAATCATGAGGACAACATTCAGTTGTTCAAGCTGACTGTGCAAGCCCAGTTGTCTGTTTAAAAAAAAAAAAATCATGTTTTAAATTATTTGATGGGGATGATTAAAGGTCTCGCGTTGCCTCTATAGAATTAGATACTTCCTGAGTTAGACGGTTCCTGGAGCGCTCGCGGAGGTGAAATGCATGCACCATATGCTCATCCACATGACTGCAGCAGGCAAATATTTCTAACTTCAGCACCTCTTACTCCATCAGATCCAAATG